TATGCCTTCACGTCCTTCCCCTTGTCTCCCCTGTCCCTCGCTCAGCCTCCTTCTTCTTCTACCACCCCAGCTATCTTCCCTGCCACCTCTCCTCAGTCTCCCATCCCCTCTCCCCCTCAGCAAGCTATATTATGAAGTTTCCCACAGACGGCACTGCACGCCTAACACGGTGCGCGCGCATGCGCAATATCTCCCGAGAGAAATCGCATTTTGCAAAGATTATGCATTTAAAATAAAGAGGAGTTATCTTAGCATAGATTTATATAATAACATTTTATCAGTAGACATCATTTAAGAAATAGGAGGAAGACCTTGCATGTAGGGTCCCCGCTGCGTGTCTATACAAGCCAGTACACAATCTGGCTACGTTAGTGTGTTAGCGCCTGCGCAATATCTCACCAGAGGAGTTATATTTTGTGATGATTATGCATTTAAAATGGTTAAGGGGTATCTCAGCATAGATTTCCTTAATAAACTTTTATTAGTTGACATGTGTTTATAATTAGGAGAACGCCCTAGCATGTAGTGTACAAAACACCTACTTTATGGCCTCGCGTCCTTCCCCTTGCCTCCCTTGTCCCTCGCTCAGCCTCCTTCTTCTTCTACCGCCCCCAGCTATCTTCCCTGCCGCCTCTCCTCAGTCACCCATCCCTTCTCTCCCGCAGCAAGCTATATTATGAAGTTTGCCTTCTACGACGGCACTGCACGACTAACACGGTGCGCGCGCATGCGCAATATCTCCCGTAAGAAATCGTATTTTGCAAAAATTATGCATTTAAAATGAAGAGGAGTTATCCTAGCATAGATTTCCATAGTACCATTCCATCAGTTGACATCATTTAAGAAATAGCAAGAAGACCTTGCATGTAAGGTTCCCGCTGCGTATATACCAGCCAGTACACAATCTGGCTACGTCAGTGTGTTAGCGCATGGGTAATATATCACCAGAGGAGTTGTATTTTGTGATGAATATACATTTAAAATAGTTAGGTGACATCTCAGCATAGATTTCCTTAATAAACATTAATCAGTAGACCTGTCTTTGTAATTAGGAGAGCGTCCTAGCATGTAGGGTAGAAAACATCTACTTTATGCCCTCGCGTCCTTCCCCTTGCCTCCCCTGTCCTTCGCTCAGATTCCTTCTTCTTCTACCGCCCCCAGCTATCTTCCCTGCCGCTTTTCGATCCGCAGTCTCTCTTCCCCTCTATCCCTCAGCAAGCTATAATTATTATGAAGTTTTCCTCAGACGGCACTGCACGTCTAGGACGGTGCGCGCGCATGCGCAATATCTCCCGTGAGATGATAATCGTATTTTGCAAAGATTATGCATTTAAAATGAAGAGGAGTTATCCTATAGCATATATTTATATGATGCCATTCCATCAGTAGAGCTCATTTAAGAAATAGGAGGAAGACTTTGCGTGTAAGGTCTCCGCTGCGTATACCAGCCAGTACACAATCTTGCATCGAGTATTCCCTTCCCATTTTAAACGTATGCTTTTTAACAAAGTCTTATTTTACATAATAGATACATGACAAGCGCAAATCTTCGCGTCCCCCGCTGTGTTGCAGGGAATTTTGTAAGACTTGGCACCTTGTGATGGTGATTGGTGAGTATGTGGTAATTTTAGCAACATACGCTTCCATTCATTCAATAAATGGTATTTCATAAATGTGCACACGCACGCACGCAGCACGCACGTGTACGTGCACGCACGCAGCACGCACGTGTACGTGCACGCACGCAGCACGCACGTGTTCGTGCACTATATAAACAGCGCTTTCTATCAGAACATGTGGTCATTCATCTGTAAATGTCAAGCAGCACGCTTCGCTTCTGCCAACCACAACACATAACAAATACGCGTGACTTGATCTATGACGTCACGTAAAAATCGCTATTACACCTGCGCGATGGCGTGTGCATATGTTTGCTAGTGAATTAGACCCGCTAAAATTCGAGACTGTTCGCTAGCAGCAATTGATCCGTGCACCGGCCTTTCGAATTGGCGCACGGATCAATAGCTGCCAGCGCGTGATACTTTCGTAGGACGTTCCCGCGGTCGCGTGCGCCTTGCCGCGGAACTGCGCGCAAGATCCGCGCTCAGCGGGCAGGATCAACAACTCTGACGCGACGCTTCTCTGGTATCCGGTCTCTCATCTGAGCACCTTATTTGAGCACCTGGCGGTCCCTGAATTAAATTATTCTGTGGCAGACTAGCTGTTGAAACGTGCGGAGTCCAATATTATTGTATAGCGCGTGTGACGGCTTTAATTGAAAGTAATATTTGGCTTTGTATTAATGTAAACAAAATTTGCGCTCATTAAAGAATCAATATTATTTCATAGAGCTGTACATGCATAATTGAAGTACATTAATTACACGCTGTGCCATGCGCAGCTATAAAAATACACACACACACACACACACACACACACACACACACACACGCGCGCGCACACACACACACACACACACACAGGGGAACAGCGTAAAAGCGATCCGCGGCGAGGCGAGGTGAGTTTACCAAGCGCGGGTAACCTGCCCCGCCGCAAGGAAGCAAAATTATTGGAGCTATTTATAACCCGGGAAAAAAACCATTACGCCGCAAAATAACTCCCCATAAACCAAAACGCACGCACCACACAAAGAACCCGCCTGTATAAGCAGTGAATTCGCTTTTGTAGGCAGCAACCTATTACCCACAATATAGGGCCTATTAGATCACCACAATTTGGTTAATAGTGTGAAAATGCAAGCACACACACACACACCACGGCGGCGCGGCCAACAAGGCACACCCATGCGCCACGGGATCACCGTACGCACACATACAGCACACACACAACACGCAACACACCACAGCACACGCAGCGCGCGCGCGCCGCACTAACCCATGCGCCAGACGCACGTACGCCACATAAAACACCACACCACACACACACACACAAGGACACAACCATCACATCACATATACCACACACACACCACACACAACACATCACGACACACATCCATCACACCAGTGGGTACACGGTGGTCTAGGTGGGCCGCCCAAAAATCTGCTTCCACTATGCTGGCGCGCAACGCACGCACCGGCACGGCAACGCAGCCACGCACGCACGCAACACCCGTACATATACGAGAGAAATGTTTTATTGTGCTGGTGCGGGAAATCTAGTTGTTTTGGCGAATTCCGACAATAGTCAATTAAGTTAAATGGCCGGTAATTCATAAATAGTGGGTAAATCAAATAACACGGTGTTCCCTGCAGCTCCGTACTGCTCTCAGTATACTGTCAAGAGTGGTGATTGTGGTGTTTCCTCCCTCCATTCATTTTTTCCCTGTTAAGTGGAACTGGAAAACTGGAGCGGAAAATAAAAGTAGATAAACGTAACAATTTACATAACGGAAATTTAAATATAAAAAAAAAAAAAAAAAAAAAAAACGAAATTAATTAACCAACTAAATACGAAAAGGACGGTGTTTAATATATAAATACGTGAAAATGTACCGAAAAACGTGGAAAATTCTCAACATGAGAGTGGTTCAAGAAACCAAGTTATCAAACAGTGTGCAACTCTCTAGGAGAAAAAAGCCGTTTATTCACATGCGACACAATAGTATAGCTGGCATCCCCGCCTGAAACACAACCACAAGTGCGAGCATGAATAACCTGAATATGAATTAATACTGCCCCTTGCTAGTTGTACTTCGTTGACGGACCAGAAAACTCTCATTAATTTAAGATACTAAAAGATAAATTAAATAATTAATAATTAAGAGTTAATACTGCCCTCTGCGTGGGCTGCATAATGAACGGTTTCCCGATTTGGTAACAGGCGGAGCGCTCGTCCGGAGCGGTCTTTTGGCTTTAATGCTCGGTAACGACTCTCCTCCGTCCACTCTCCTTTGCGGCAACAGCACGGTATAATTCCACCAAGGTGAGTTAGGCTCGCTCCGGGCAAAGCACACCCATAAGCCCTCCGAATGTCAAGCCTGGTGGGAAAACAAACGCGTGGATTGTGTGAGCAGAGAGAGAGGAGAGAGAGAGAGATGAGCGAGGAGAGAGAAAGAGAGAGGATGAGAGACCGTGTGGCTGGGAAAAACTCCCCAGCCAAGCGCACGAACGTGCTTGTCGACAGTCTTGTCTACCGTACGGTTCGCTCGCTGACCACGAAATAACACACATCAAACGCATGTGCCCTCGTAATGCCAGACCCGAATTTTAAATATTCATCTGTACAATTCGTGACGCCATTTAACAACTATTTGATGTTATAAATCATATTATATATCCATATTATATATATATGGTGATTTTCATATGCTCTGTTGTATAGAGGACACGTGTTGAACATCGTGACGATAACACACGAACTATGAGACGTAAAACGCACAGGCAGTGACGTAAATATACGTGCATAAGTGTGACGTATACATACAGACGAGTGAAACGTCGGCGTGTAGGGCTTGCAACAGTATTCCACACGTGTTTCCGTTCGTCATCCCGTTGTAAAACATCCGTAGACTAGACAACATAGTTCTTCTGCGAACAAAATCAAAAATTGCCGATAAAACATTGAATAAAGGAGTCTGTCAAGAGTAGCGATGGAATGAGATGGTGAGGATGAGAGAGGGATGGTGGGGAGAAAAAATAAATAATGAAAAGAAGAAAGGGGGCGCAAGCGAGAGGAGAGATTTGGGGAAAGAGAGGACTTGGGTGAGAGAGGAAGAGATGAGCCGGCGGAGACGCCGCCAATAAGGGTCGAGAGAGGGGGGAGATATATATAATTATATATTATATATATATATAATATATAATAGAGAGAGAGAGAGAGAGAGAGAGAGAGAGAGAGAGAAAGAATAAAGAGAATGTAAGAGCAAGAAGGAACCTCAGAATACCTTAACTCGTCTGCAGAATCGTTAGCAAATAGTATGTTTTTTTCCATCGAGTTCGGTTGACTAGCCGACATGGAGATACATTGTATCGTAGAACGCGTGCTGCAATCCTCTGGGCAACTGTCAGTATCATCGCATACCCCGCCTCTTGCGAAAAACTCATCTGTACAAATGAAAGAACAAATCATCTCCAACAAATGAACAAATCAATCAATCAATCAATCAATCAATGATCAGATCATGATTCATCTGTACAAATGAATGTGTTTCATGTGTAAGAAACATCGCTGCCGTCACCATGTCTACGTGCGTGCGTGCTTCTGTTTGAGTTTGTGAGGGTGTCGGTGCGTACGTGCGTGCCTCCACTTGCGTTCTTAAGAGTGCGTACGTAACGTACATGCGGGCCTGTAAACTTTGAGAGTGTGTACGTATGTGCGTGGTTGCACGTGTTGGGTGGGTGTGGCGGGGTGGTTGGTGTGTGATGTGTGGTGTGTTGTTGTTGTGGTTGTGCGCGCGGTGTGGTGTGTTGCTGTGTGTGTGTGTGTGTTTGTGTGGTGTGTGTGGTTGTGCGGTGCGTGGCCGTCCGG